ATTTTAGAGATGGCAATTCTCCTGCTGTGTATCCTACTGCTGTCCCTCCCGGCCATATTTAGTGCCACACTCAACTCTACAAACAGCTACCCTCGTTACTTTGCGTCCATACTTGTTGCTCGATTTGCCACTACACCTGCTAATGAAACAGCTCATAGACACTTCTACACTCCATCATTGTATCCTTTTAAACCCTATCTTTGTCCCATTACTTCACCAGCACTCCTTCCAAACTTCATTCTACTCTTAAAAATAACACCATCTGCGAGCTACTGCTATTCGTCCAAGATTCGCCGCTCTTCATCCTTTCACAGAAAATACTTGTGCAAACTATTAATTCTACTTTTCTTATTTCTGGGTGGTATTGATCTTCATCCTGGTCCAAATGAAAATAACTCGTATAATTCTGTAGATTTTTCTAGCAGGAAAGGTGTTGGTGTTCTACATATCAACATCAGAGGGCTTGTGATTAAATTAAGTCAACTAAAACTAGAAGTGGCAATCTTGACCTGGACATTTTTTGCCTAACAGAAACATTTCTCACTCCTGCCGTCAATGACTTGCAGATTGCGATTGACAACTACAACCTTTTTTGGCTTGACCGAGGATCTAAAGGAGGTGGAATTGCCATCTATGTTCGTAATACTATTGCATATTCACTAGCTCTGATGGTCTGGCTCTCAGAATAACTCTCCCAAATAATCAAAAGATATTGGTAGTGTGCTGCTATCGACCGCCTATTGGGAAGGATGTTGAAGCTGCATCTGCACTGAGAGAGCTTTTTGGGGCCTCCTTAAAGGTGAAATAGTTTTAGTGGGTGATCTAAATTGGAATTGGCTAAACCCGCCGGCCGTGGCCACAAATTTTGCAGATTAATTTAATCTGTTTCAATTAATAAATGTCCCCACAAGACCCAACCTAAAAAATCCGGGACAGTCATCTCTGCTTGACGTCCTATTGACAAATACCCCTCACAATTTCACACTGGTGTTCTGGGTAATAACCTTAGTGATCACTCCATTTTTGGGGTAAGACCATCAGCCAGACCCAAAGCCCCCCCTAAATTGGTTGAGAAGCACTATGAGACACTTCAGCACTCAGGCATTTACTAATGATGTGCTTCACTCGGATATTGAGAAGGTCTGTGATATCCCCAACCTGGCTACGGCTTGGGAGACCTTCAGGTACACGTTTCTCCAAATTCTTAACAAACATGCTCCGTTGGTTAGATTTAAAACTAAAGGCAACCGCCCACCATTGTTTGATCCTTTGATTACAAAGCTCATGAAAACTAGGGACAAGGCTTGGGCATGTGCTCAGAAAAGTTATTTGGTCAGTGACTGGCTAGAATACAGGATTTTAAGGAATAAATGTGTCAAAAAAATACAGCATGCAAAAGATGCCTACTTTTCCTCCACTCTTCTGGGATCACATGGAAATGCCAGGATTTTCTGGAAAACAATCAAATGCATCGAAAAGGCATCCAAAACAGACAATCTGCCCGTTGAGCTTAACCGAAATGGGGAATATTTTTCAGATCCCAAAAAAATATTTGACAATTTTAACCTTCATTTTTCTGAAGCTGGTAATCTTTTTGATAATGTATTGGGAGTCACCCCTGCTCATGCAAATTCCTACACCCCTGTCCAAACATTAAACGAATTTAGTTTCCAGCCAATCCACGAAAGTAATGTTCTGAAAAAACTGTCCTACCTCAAAGGGTCCTCCTCTACCAGAGCAGATAGTATTCCCGTCTTTGCTCTACAAACTGTTGGTCACCTAATATACAAACCTATAGCCCATATTTTCAACCTGTCCATCAAAGAAGCATCAGTTCCTCTAGAATGGAAACATTCCTATGTCTGCCCACTTCACAAAGGGGGCCCTAAAGATGATCTAAATAACTACCGACCTATCTAAATTTTGTCCCCGTTGATGAAAATTTTTGAAAAATTATTGACCTAACAAATTAGCAGTTTCCTGTCCACCAACAATCTACTACATCTAAAACAATCTGGGTTCCGAAAAAAATACAGCACCACATCTGCTGCATTATACTCTCTGAATCACATTTACAGTAACCTTGATAATAAGCAGTACTGTGCCTGTCTTTTTCTTGACCTGTCTAAAGCCTTTGATACAGTAGACCACAACACCCTGCTTAGTAAACTAAGTTGCCTCGGTTTTTCCGAAAACGCAGTAAAATTGTTAAAAAAATTATCTTTTCTCACACCCAAACTGTATTCAGAGATGGTTGGAGGTCAAATAGTGCTAAGATAACAAAAGGGGTTCCACAAGGTTCCATCCTCGGCCCCCTCTCGTTCTCTCTATATGTCAATGACTTGGGCACTGACCTGGATCATTCCAGGGTAAATCTTTTTGCAGATGACACTATGCTGATTACTGCTGGCCGCTCTCTGGATGACGTGATTGCTAAGCTCCAGGGTGATTTCAACAAACTACATCAGCTAGTTGCTCTTAAACTAGTCCTGAATACCTCCAAAACCAAGGTGCTATGCTTCTCACCAGGACTAAAGCAGGAAGTTATTTTTCCCCAATTACATTCCTTTAATAATTATGAAATAGAGCAAGTCAAGATCTATAAGTATCTTGGGGTCATCTTGGATTCAAAACTGAATTTTGAAGATCACATTGATTATATTGGTAAAAAGACTAAAATAAAAATTGGTTTTCTGTATCGACACAAGCACTGCTTCCCCCCAATGTTCCGTTTGGAATTGATAAAAGCTACCATACTGCCTCTCCTTGACTACTGTGACATCGTGTAAAAATCAGCCCCAAGTACTGTACTGAAGAAGCTTGATTCCATCTATCACTCGGCCTTAAGATTTACATTGAACTGCCCATATAGGACTCACCACTGTGATCTCTACATTGGGTCAAACTTAACATCTCTTAATGTTCGACGGCTTGTGCACCAGATCTTATTTATTCACGATGTACTTCCAAAAAAATCCGCAGACTACCTGCTAGATCTCCTCTCTGTTTCAAAGAACAAATCTGACCTCAGGTCTTCGCTCATTTACCAGCTTCACATTCCCTATTGCCATACAAAAACTGGAGGAAGGGCCTTTGCTATTGATGCCCCCAGGGTCTGGAATGCTATTGCCAATAAACTGCAACTTGAATCGCTACCAATGAGATTTTCTCTCAAAACTGCTCTAGAGGAGTTGTACACCCCTAGCTACCACTGCTATTCATTGGCGTAAAATAGAATAAAATGTTTTCGCTCCAGATGACGGAGCAAAGTATTATCTGTATTTTGATTTAGCGTGCTGATCTTAAAGGTGCATTGAAAAATTTGATACTCCGACTGATGCTTCTGTTGTTGTGGAGTAACTCATGCAGCCAGCTATGGCTTTAGGATTTGGTGTTACATGTTATTTATGTAGTTTATTGTACAAATCCGGTCAGAGTCCCTATGATCACTGTTACGTTGCGATTATGGCTTTATTTTTGGTGATTTCGAAAACATGTTTTTGTTTGGACATGTTTGTTTTGTTGTAGTATGGAGTTAGACTGATGGCCTTAATCTAAGTTTTCTTGTGGTTGTTGTTGTTTGACTTGCATCCCACTGGGATTTTTTGCACACAGCGTTGGTGTATGGTGCTTTTTTCAGGAATATTTTGCTGTTTTTTTCATGGATTTTCTGTTTGCACAGTCACATAGCCACTTTAAGATGTTTTTCTTGTTCGTGTTTTTGTTTTTTTGTTTGTTGTGGTTGCACCCGATTCAAGAGCCGAATGGCTCACAGGGCTATACCAAAATAAAGAAACTGAAACTCTTGCCGAGCTCGCTCCAGATCCAGCTCTGTCATCCTGGGCTTTTTGCATGAGAATGGTCCCTGGCCATCCAGCCATTGTTCCACTGACACCACTAGCTCAGAGGGTGGAAGACTTCAGACCCTGACACCACAACCCAACTATGAAGGTTATTCAAGGTTAACCTGTGGATGTAAATTTTTTAATCGAGACAACTGTTAAAAGCATCCCAGATTACTTAAAATGTGTGGAATGGCTACATCTGGCAACTCTTGTGAGAACTAACATCAAAGCTGCACAAAACACTGGGTATTTCCAGGATGGCTGTAAATAGTGCACCATGTTTTGTGGGACAGTGTTGAGTAATGGAGTTTCTGGCAAAGGAATATCTCAAAACAGCTGAAATTTACAGGAAATTAGCTGTACACTTTGCTAATGAGTTGTGCTAAAGTAATACAAATGCATGAGCCGTTATGGGACGGTGAACAAGCTTGTGTGAAACCCAAGTTAAACAATTAGTTTAAAATATATGTATCTGCATCAATGTGGAAACCATTCCGACTTGATAAGGTGATTAGATCATTCTGAAGATAAGTAGATATCCTGAAATGGATGCGCAAATATCGTGATCGATTCTATGCTTCTGACATGATGGCATTACACGCTGATGGTGCACTTGTGTACGCACAGCATTGGAAATAACTTGGAAAATAGAACAAGTTCCATTCATTCCACTTTATTTTCCAGAGAAATGCAGATTGACCTTGAACAACTTGCATCCAGATTCTTAAATATTTCCAAGTGCTCAATTGGATTGCTTGGCATAAATGTGTTATGCACTTGCAGTTGGATTGCTGTTGTATCTAGTGGCTTTGACTTGCGCTGTCATATGTGAGCGCATTGTGGCGATGTATTGTAGGCGCACTCTTACATTCTCCGTTGTGAGCGAGTGTTCTGCAGTAAGTTCCATTTGCGCTGTAAAGACTGTAAACCAACGCTTTTTGTTACTGGAAGTAGGTGTCGTGTTTTATTCTGCATAAATCATTTGTATTTACGATATGATTTTACAAATCTCTACAAACTACGGTACAACCACGTTCAAAAGTAACCAGACAATTGAGAGCATGCATGTTTAACCATTATTGGTGAATTTGTTGAAAACATATAAATAGCAATAAACAGATGAAAATACAAATATGCATGAATACAAAACATAAATAAAACCAATTTGTACAATTTATTTTTTACATACACCAACATTTGAAACCATTGGCGAATATAAGAAACGGTTCTCGTTTGATGCAAGATAGAACACTTTGAAAACGGAACCCTCGCTTTCATAGTAATCAACGTAATGAAAGAGAATCAGTTGCGTTGGTGGATTAGGGGGTAATGTGTATTCAGCCAGCACCATCAACGTCCTGGGTCCAAGGCGTAGCTGAATAACCAAGGCAATATAGGTTCTCAAGTGTATAGAGTTTGATGGTCTCACCCCATCACCAATAAGCGCACAATAAAGCCTTCATCAAATTAATTAGATTTTGCACTTGATATGGCTTATCCCTGCTCTTCGGGATGTGAACGTTAGACAGGACACAAAGAAAACCAATCATATAAACTTTGTGGTTATGTTAAGCGGTCTACTGAAGGGAGACAGCAAGTCGTTTTATGCCATCTGGGGTTCTCAACCAACAAGATGGGATACGACAATTTCTAAATGGTTGCATGATATCCCACAACTTCTCTTCGTACCTTGACAACAAGAAGACAATCGGGCCAAATGGAAGAACAATATACAGTGAAACCTCAACTATTCCCACTAATTGAGGGGTCCCTTTGCCAAGAGTAATGAGAGTAATATAATTTGGAAGTATTGTTTATATAGGTAAGATGTTACCTCAGTAACTGCACTGAGTATTTTATACACCATATTTATATTTTTACAAAAACATGAGGAAATTAAATAGAACGGGTGATTTGCAGATATGTTTTGCAGGGTTTTTTTATGTTGGTTTTAAATACAAAAATAACATGCTGTGCTATACAACTGTTAACTGCAGTTAGATGTGTGAATAGTTGTGTGAATAAATGAGGTTTCACCATACATAATTATTAACACTGAAACGTATTGCCAGAAATATATTTGAGGCCCACCAAGACAACACCGTCCGTTACATTTTCTCCATGCTCGCCGCGATCCTTTTCCTGACTCCACTCGTTTGCCCGTCTGCGTGCTGTTTGAACTCTTCCCCACTGCCATCACGGCCCTCGTCAGTCTCGCTGGGTCCTCCGACATTGGGTGACATATTTTCCCCTTCCATCTCAGACGGGCCTCGAACGCCAGTGCAGTGCGCTGTCACGTGACTCTGCTCATACCCTGCATCGCGATCCTTCGCATCCGCATCGTTGCTCTCATCACATCGATCCGATTTGCTGGTGGGGCCCATGGTTTCCCCAAGCTGTGTGTGACCGGTCGGTATTTCTGTGCTGCCTTCGGCACAGACCGCAGTACCAGCTTCTTCCACCGATGGGGAGTGTTCACCTTCTGCGGCAGCTTGGTGTCTTGGACATTCACCCCCTGCCGAGTCTGCAAATTTGTAATAAATACAGCTCATGTTATTATGTAATCAATAAGGGATAGAACAGGCCAGCGAGTCATATGTGAGCACTTCACTAACTTTAATGAGTGCTATAAACACTCAATAATCAAAGAGTGCAAATGGAAATGTAGAGGGTTAGATCGCCTAAATATATAAATGTGTCATTAAACCCGCCACCACCCGACACAGCCAATTAGTAAGGTTTGTCACGTAAACAGAACGTGTCAATTCATTACTAGTACAGCACACCCGGTGTGTTGGAGAGCCAAGCCACAACATTTACAATCTGAGTTCGACGTTTCGCCAGTAATTACAACTAGCTTCATCAGGCGACAGGTTTGTGGAGAAGTCCACCTGTTTAATTCCTTATTTAGAGGCGTAGATGTGGGGACCACACTTCTGCGCGCTTGCGCAAAATGGGGGGGGATCAATGAGTCAACGTACATTATGCATGCGCATTATGGGAGCCCCTTTGGTGGTATCAAAGACGTTGGCCGCGATAACCCCTTGAGCCATGAACTCCCCACATTACAGACTGTGGTGTGTACAACTCCATACAGGTCTGTTAACATCGTGACGTTTTGTGAATTTAAGCCGTGTGCAGTGTCAGCGTGGCAGTAATGTGACGGTCACTGACCGTGTTGGGGGTGCGTGCCGCCCCCAGGTGAATCCACACCGGCGAAGTCGGTGCTTTCTCTAAGCGTGCGCGCGATCTCCTGCAACTGAGATAGCAGTCGCTCTTCTTGCTCACCGCCACCTCTGCCACGCACACACACACACACACATGGTCGGGCAGTTAAGCCTTACAGCTCCGTAATTGTCCATTGCCGTGATCTCATATGTTCTTATTACGAGTACCACAACAACTAAGGGATCACTCAAATTCATCAACATGCATCACAAGTACACAGTGTGCTGGAGGAAAGGGAGTGAAACATAATACAGTGAACTCTCCATTATCTGGGGTAATGGGAGGGAGGGATGGCCCGCATGAAACTAAAACTTTTGTATCAATTAGGCTATACATCTACATGTATTGCTTGCTAGAATGGGGGTGAATATGTAGAATGTGTCATCGGTTTTTACTGCAGCTTGAAAGTGATCGGTTAACTTGCTGAAGTGGTTGCAGACAAATGAGCATCAAGTTGCTGACCCTCGCAGAGTGAGGAGCAGTTACTAATTAAGCCAGCATGAAGTATGGTCAAATAATTCCCACGACTCACCCACCATGAGGCGAACCTCATTTAGCAGTGGATTAACAATGTACACATGCACATACAAATACACAAAACACTGAACTCGGGTGTAGGATTGCTGATGCAAGCACCTGCCATCGGAGAAAGGCCCCACTACTTTAGAGGCGAGTTTTTCCAGTGCTCTCTCCGTGTCCTCCAAACGCTGCTTCAGCTGGATGAGCTGGTGTTCACCTTGAGTGGGGTACAAAGCAATGACAACAACTATCAACCACCTCATCATCATCACCATGATGTGAAGGTGCTGTAATATGCTATGTTTAAGCAGGTCGCATTGGCATGTAAACAGTATGCTATGGTAATCCCACGCAGAAATTAGCTGGAAGCAGCGGGTATCAATCCATTGACCCTGTGAAAACTGCCCACTAAGCTACCCAATGATAATTACCCTTAATTCCAGTCACAATTAGTGTGTGTCCAACAGCAATGGTGCCATCCAGACGTAATTATAAATGGTTTAAATTGAAAGACGCAGCATTATGCTCGGACAAAGAAAAAAATAAAGAAAAGCAAAAGCAGAATTAAATGCTGGTGGCTTCATTCAGTCCAGAATTCCAGCAAGAATTGAGGATTATATTTGAGAATCCCCTAGTTTATTGCAGGTTCAAAGAAAATGTAGGAATTTAATCAGTGTGCAGTGAAATGAACAAATCTCACACACAATCACACCAATCCCTGCTCAGTGACATCCAATAAACTGGCTAGGCATGTACTACTATATGAGAATGCACAAGAGCATGAATAGATGGTGAGATTGACTTACTCAGACCACTGCCGCTCAAACACTTAACCGGTTTCTTCGGTTGTGAACTATCTTTTCTCGTAGTAATCTTAAACAAAAAAACACACATTCATGTTATAAACTGCTAAAAGAAACTTACATCATAAACTTATATTTAACACATCCTCAAATACAGGTTATCATCATAACTTGTTGTCCGTGCTGTTAAACTGACCTCACAGGGGGTTTATTACTTCCGAGATGAGCATTCAAAGCCAGCCTATATATCAGTTTAATGTCCTTTATTTCATCAGGATAGAGCACAATTACTTATTTCGTTTACCAGGAAGATATGGGCATCATGGAACCTCCTTTGCCAGTACCAAAATATGAGAATAGGTTTTCCCCTTTTTTTCTGGCAACAAAACAGGTGTTAAGATGTTAAAACACCAAACTGAAACCTTTTACAAGAAATGTCAGCATTAACCACAATGCTTGTGGTCAGAATGCAAACAAAAAACACACTCTGATAATATATGTGGCATTGTCTTTTAAACTGATTGGTCCACACCAGAGACAGCTTTCTTTTGAGCCTAGTCTCAAAACGATGTTAGACCAGATGACGCCAAAAGGCGTACACAGCACAAAGACAACGCAACATCAGAGTAATGAGAGCTCAGGGGGTGAGCAGCTACATCATGGGACCTCCTTTGCCAGTACCAAAATATGAGAATAGAAAGTGATGCAACAGTCTGTATCACTCCACAAATTAATTTATGGTTTGGAAACTCCTCACGGAAATTACTGTAAAGCTGGAGTCAACCTAGTCCTTCAACCCATCACACCTAATGCAATTAGTGTAAGTTGGTCAAAAGTCAACAGCGATTTTCTTGTGGGTAGTATGTATCTTCACCGCAGCAATGTCGAATCTATTCCACTGTCTCTGGGCCACCAATAGACATGGGCAATGAGCAATGCCTATTTGAACTTGAAAACATGTATTGTTGATCGTAACAATTTCCTTGCGTATTTTTGTTTGGACATTAAAATATTAGAGGCTGATTGTCGGAAAACTGTCCCAACATACCCATGGCATACTACTACTTAACAACCTGGGCATATAGCAAAAGAAGGTGATGGAGTGAGGTGGTATCAACAGCACTGCCCATGATAACCTCATGACATAGTTTTAAATCGATTATGGGTACTGAACCACTAAGTGCAGCCTGGCTCAAGTCTCCTACCAATTTCCACTGGCACATCCGATCCATGCCAGTGTGGGGCCCTCACGGTAAGGGTGGTTTCCCACTTGCAATTCTCCATGCCGAGCCAGAACCAACCCGTCTGGTAGCTGGCCTCACATGACATCTGAATCTGGCTCGGGGCCAAGCAGGGCAAGAGTCGGGGATAATGACATATTCACTGCACCATATCCATGCATATTGACTTTCCTTGCGTGCGATTTTGGCGGCACAGCTCAACATCTGCAGTGGAAAAAACCTGGCACCTCCTGAGCCATGCCGGACAAGCTCGGCACAGCCCTGGCACAACTATGGGTTTTACAATGGAAAACAGGTATAGGTTAAATGGCCAGCAGCCGCCTAACGACAGACCCACAGTCCACAGCGAGCACCTTGAAGAGGATGTACACGACGTAGATGAAGATGCCCAGGCAGTAGACGGGCAGGACTTGCCCCATGATGCTGCGGTTGCTGGGGGCGGGCTGAGAGTTTGCATGGTGACGAGCGCGTGCCTCGGGGATATGGGAGCCGCCCATCCGGGGCCGCTCGGGCTGAGGGCCGAGTGGGCGCTGTGGCGTCTGCTTGGGAAATTGACGCGCAGCTCCTAAAATTGTCGAAAGGGGAAAAAAATCACCCTCGGTAGCTTTATTTTGCCTCAATTCCAGAATCACCCAAGTGTTAAGGAACTGGGTTAGACTGAAACCAAGTCTGTCTCCAGGGCCACCTGCTTTGGTGTAATCAAACCCATCCATTACGATGTCTATATCATGTGTATATTATCTGATTAATGTTTGTATTTCTGCCTCACAGTGTAATTCTAAGAATAGATCGCTACATGCTTATTTGAGCACTTTCAGCTTTTACTCCAATGTATTTATCAATGGCCACGTTTGTCATCTATATGTGATAAAAGCCAATCTGCAATAATTACCAACTTTTCATTTGCTATGTTGCTTTTCATGCAAGTTCCTAATTCCATATGCAATCCATACTTCTCTTTCCTGCTTCTTTATTTCATCGTGTTGATCCTGACCCAACCTCAATAACTGTCCTAGGTATACATATTACGATGTGTTTTTCAGTTGTGTGCCACCCATAGATAGCTTTCTCTGGTTTTGCAAACTTGTTGTGCATAACTATTAATCATATTCATCTTCACTGAAGTTATTATGACAAGCAATGGGAGCAAAAAAGCAGGAAAAAAGGAGGTTGATGATTTGCAATTTACAATTGGCAGACCTTGGGGAGAAAGATGGAACCATAACACATGCTAGAAAGAAACTCTTGAAATTATCAGAGAACTTGTATGTACATTTCTAGAGCAAAAACATTATATACTAAATCTTTATTTGAAGCTTTCATGACCGCAGGAATCCATACTCTTTGGTTCTTTCGGTAAAGTCACGTAGGTATAAAATAAAATTATTAACTAGCCTTTTGCCCGTCCAAGGACGGGTGTATTTCAGTAAATCTGGCAAGCGAAAAGCAGACCGCGACGTGATATATTCATTGTATCAATTCGTGTGCAGTTTGTAAGGGCGCGGTGATTGGGGGGGGGGGCGTGACTTATTTCATTTAAAGGTTATAATCCCTTGTTGATCACGTCGTCCTTTTTACTTCGATGTCTCAATAGCGTGACGGAGATCACGTGACGTGAGGGTTCTGCCTTTGTAGTGAGATCACGTGATGACGTGAGGGTTCTGCCTTTGTAGTGAGGGTTGTGAGTTGACGCTGAGGAGGGGGGAGGAGGCGCCTCGGTCCTCATGTGTAGTGACGTCAGCCGCTAATGATTATGAATGGTGGGGGGTGTCCATTTCGAGGATGTCACCTTATAATGATTATTGAGGGGGGCTGTTCGATGTGGAGTGACGTCACCTGCTCATGATTATTAATGAGGGGGGCTGGTCGACGTGGAGTGACGTCACGAGCATTGCACACAGACATTCTTGGCTCATTATAGTAGGTAATAATAATGGGGGGGGGGGGGTGTCCATTTGGAGGACGTCACCTGCTCATGATTATTAATGAGGGAGGCTATTCAATGTGGAGTGACGTCACTTGCACATGATTATTAGTGACGTCACTTGCACATGATTATTAGTGAGGGGGGGTGGGAGTGTCCATTTGGAGGACGTCACCTACTCATGCATATTAATGAGGGGGGCTGGTCTATGTGGAGTTACGTCACGAGCATTAAGGACAGACATTCCTAGAAGGTATATACCAGAAATCAGAAATCTAGCTAATTTTCTGATTTGAAGAACAGCGCCCTTCACAGTGTGGAAAAAATTAAAATTCCTGGTCTACACGGTAACACATTCCTGCGGAGAGGGCTGGTAGGAAATTTTGAAGTGTTTTTCTGCTAAGGGGACAGGACAACTTCACCGCATCAAAGGGACGATGGACGGGGCCATGTACCGTCAAATCTTGGGTGAGAACCTCCTTCCCTCAGCCAGGGCATTGAAAATGGGTCGTGGATGGGTATTCCAGCATGACAATGACCCAAAACACACGGCCAAGGCAACAAAGGAGTGGCTCAAGAAGAAGCACATGAAGGTCCTGGAGTGGCCTAGCCAGTCTCCAGACCTTAATCCCATAGAAAATCTGTGGAGGGAGCTGAAGGTTCGAGTTGCCAAATGTCAGCCTCGAAACCTTAATGACTTGGAGAAGATCTGCCAAGAGGAGTGGGGCAAAATCCCTCCTGAGATGTGTGCAAACCTGGTGGCCAACTACAAGAAACGTCTGACTTCTGTGATTGCCAACAAGGGTTTTGCCACCAAGTATAAGTCATGTTTTGCAGAGGGGTCAAATACTTATTTCCCTCATTAAAATGCAAATCAATTTCTAACATTTTTGACATGCGTTTTTCTAGATTTTGTTGTTGTTATTCTATCTCTCACTGTTCAAATAAACCTACCATTAAAATAATAGACTGATCATTTCTTTGTCAGTGGGCAAACGTAAAAATCAGCAGGGTATCAAATACTTTTTTCCCTCACTGTATATTGGTGATGGTGGTGATGGTGGTACTGCTGCTATTGGTGATGGTGATGGTGGTACTGCTGCTATTGGTGATGGTGGTGGTGATAATGGTGGTGATGGTGGTGGTGATGGTGGTGGTGATGGTGGTACTGCTGCTGTTGGTGATGGTGGTGGTGATGGTGGTACTGCTGCTATTGGTGATGGTGGTACTGCTGCTATTGGTGATGGTGGTGATGGTGGTACTGCTGCTATTGGTGATGGTGGTGGTAATGGTGGTACTGCTGCTATATTGGTGATGATGGTGGTGGTGATGATGGTGGTGGTGGTGATGGTGGTGGTAGTGGTGGTGATGATGATGATGGTGGTGGTGATGGTGGTACTGCTGCTATATTGGTGATGATGGTGGTACTGCTGCTATATTGGTGATGATGGTGGTGGTGATGATGGTGGTGATGGTGGTGGTGGTGATGGTGGTGATGGTGATGATGGTGGTGGTGGTACTGCTGCTATTGGTGATGATGATGGTGGTGGTGGTAATGGTGGTGGTGATGATGGTGATGATTATGGTTGTGATGATGGTGGTGATGATGGTGATGATGATGGTGGTGATGGTGTTGATGATGATGGTGGTGGTGGTGATGATGGTGATGATGATGATGGTGGTGATGGTGGTACTGCTGTTGCAGTCGTCACCCTGGCCGGAGTGAGGAGGAGTCTCTCGCGTCGCCATGGGCACGAACACCTTCACTGCGAGCAGCGAGAAGCAGGCGGCCACGCAGCACAGCACGGCCACGCGTCGGAACCCCGACTCGGCCATCGCTTCCGTGCAACAAAATAAACAACAATCAATCAATAATAACAACAACAATCACCGCTACGGGGTCCCGCACTGAGCACTCAACCACATACAGGGCCCACAGCTGTTACGGAGATTACGTCACGTCCGCCCCTTGCAAAATAATAAACATATAATTTAAATAGACATACGCCGCGTGATTACAACATTCGTGGTAGAGAACTATTATGAGGGGGGGTTAATTAATGTTCGGGTAGGTAGTAGATTGGAGTGGCCGCATTGTTCGTAGACATTGCGAGAGGTGTCAACTGAATGCGGAGTGCAACTGCGCGTGGCTTATGGTCATCGGCACAGCACCCGGGATGCTGAGGCTAAGCAGGATCGACTGGATAAGCACTCAAGATTATTGCGTGTGGGAAGGACCATTGCATAGCAGGCAACGCGTACGGTTTATCCCCTATTGTTGTACGGGGAAACTGAGTGTTCAGGTCCATACGGCGTGCAACCGTTTCAATATTTGAGTCCCCCCCCCCCCTTTGTGATGGAACATTGTAGGATGAACGTTGAGATGAATGTGGGGCACGGGGTGACCAATCAAGCGTTAAATGGTCTGTATTAAGGTAGGCACTGATTAGGGGTTGTTGTGACCGAAGCGTCAACAGCACCGAGAAATGTGCTGAAACATAAAGGCACTTGCTGAATGGAGAAAGCCTGCGAATGATTTGGGGGGGGCGGGGTGGGGACCGTAATCTTATCAAGACACGGAGGCGCGTCCGAGAGACGGAGCGACGAAATGAATGATTAAATCGTCCCGTGTGTGCAGGAAGCTGCACTGGAGCAGGCTCGTCGCGGAGGGCTGCTCGTGGAGAGAGACAAACGCGGAGGCGTCCATCCAGCAGCGGATAAGATCGCGGCCGACGTTGCTGCCGATGACGTAATTTCCGGCGTCCGTTGCCCTCCCGGAGTACGTTTCTACGTCCGTTCCGTTATATATTTATTTCAAAAATAAATATAATAGAACGTATAGCAATCGCAATATAGACGTAATGCGCTGCACAATTTTATCCATATATTTTTAAAAAATATTCACAAATGTTGTTTTTAAATCATGAATATTAATTGTTTGTGACGTAATTCCGACTTCCGGCCCCTGCGCGCGCAGTTCGGGAGACCCCGCCCGTCCCCGCTCTCTTTCCGCTCTGCGCGGCGCCATGGCGGACATACAGGTGGGCTGTTCGCCGCTCGCTTCGTCCTCTTTTCTCATAAACCACGAGCGCCTCGACGCCTACATTACAACGAACATTAAGCGCTTAACGCAGCTCCGTGTGTGTCTCGGTCGCGGTTAAAGTCGCGAGAGCTTAAGAGCCCCGAGAGAGGAGTTTTCGACGCTTTCGGGGCCCAAGGCTGCCGTAGGAGCACGCCGCTGTAGGCCTAGCCGTAGCCGCGGCTTAAAAATGTAACAGGTCGGGAGAAATGTACAAGAATAGTTAGACGGGGTAGCTGTGTGAGGAAGGAAGTTGCGGTTAAATACCTGTGTGGTTAAAGGTTGTACGTAATGTTTCAGGTGTAGGCGATGTAAAGAGTTGAACGCTTGCACGTGTTGTATAATGAAGCCATTGGTGGGCTTGGATGTTGATTTACAGTGGCCATCATACCTCTGCTTTAATAATTATCTGTATGAAGCCAATGTTTTATCTTAAGGCAGTGATGTACATGGATGTACGTTAAACTATTGCTTCTAGTGCTTTACAAGCACCCTGAGCCTTCGTTAAAATAGTCTTCATTAACGCAGCACTTCAAGCCAATGTACTGTACTTTAATGTTCTGCATGAAGTCTTAATGCATTGTAAGTTATGAATGGGCAAAACATTATTATTTCATAAATGCACGTGCACGATGGACACTAGTTATTGCATTCGGAAAATTGGCCTAGGGAAGCGTTCAAAGTGAATTGATCACGACTCGTGGTGACTTATCAAGCCAGTGCTTAAATTTGCACTGACCTCAGTTTTGTTTCGTTGCCGATTTCATTTGCCACGTAGGCCACTACCGTTCGCGTTTAATTCGGTTTCGACTAATTCATATCTTGAATTGTGTTGGTACCCCTTGAATCGGTGCACGACACGTTGAACGTCGGCTTTAGATTGCGCACGTGGTTGATATGTAATGGTCTTAAAGTGGGTCGTTGGAGTAAGCAAATGTACTTCGTCTGCATTCACCAAGGCTTCATCAATTGCAGTAGTGTTACGTATTAATATCGGATGGGAATGCCACCACCCCCTCAATGATATATTTTTACAATAAGTGATAGCTTTTAGGCCAAAGGCAATTGCGAATCTGAATCCCACAAACAGAAAAATAAGTTCAGTAAACCACAAGTATATTGAGGGAACTGCTAATTTCGGAAAATCGGATGGTGTCCAGTACAGTAATGTAGATCTATTCAAATGCCCCATCTTGACTTTGTAGTCTTGTGCACGTATTCACTTCAGATTTACAAATAAGACACATTTTGGTTACTCGTCCATTGTGGATCTCGACGTGGCTTGGTGTGATGATTTTCTTCTCACGATGGTCTTCTGAGCACCTTTGGTGAAGGAGCTATGCTGAGATGCCTTTTGGCTTTTTCTGATCAAGTCCACGTCCCGTGTCTCACTGCCGCTACTTATAAATCCCTTGGCCAGTTGCCTCATTCGAAATGGTTGAGTACAGTATATTAATTATCTAAATTATTTCTGGTTACCACCCAATAATGAAAAAATAGAAAGGCACATAACGGGATTTTTATAGTCGTATTTTTTGTCTCGCAGTACGCTACATGAAAGCATTTGTATTTATGAAGACAATATATGCTGCTATGTACTTGAGGTGAATTCACTGCGTCCATAATTATTTGAATATGAAAATGTATTTTGACCACCCTAATGCTCATTACGGCGAACAAAATATACGTTTCATATGTATAATATAAAATCCAGTGTAAAGTTTAAACTAAATCTACATAAAACATGTAGTTTCTGTATTGGAATAGAAACAGTGCCATGCTTACTCAAGGCAAAATTGCTTTAGGACAGTTTGCCATCAATGGATCCTGTGTCCCTTGATTGTAAATTAAGGTTAATTATTGAATAGGCATGTACCAGAATCTGTTTTACTTTAACTGACCAATTGCCTGCTCTATAATTTCAGACTGAGAGGGCCTACCAGAAGCAGCCCACTGTCTTCCAAAACAGGAAGGTACTTGTGTCGGGCTCTGCAAAGCAGAAGAAAGTCCAGAGGTACTACAAAAGTGTGGGCCTGGGCTTCAAGACCCCCCGTGAGGTAAGGTTTGCGTCAACCTGTGAATGTCCATGCAGGGGGAAAATGTTTTCATCATAAATAGGGGTCGGCAACCTGCAGCTCCAGATCCGCATGCGGCTCTTAGTGCTGCTTCATGACGTTATTTATGAAGGACCGTCTCGTATTCACATGCATTGTGGCTCTTGAAATTGAGGATTTTACTGAATAAAAAAATGGTTCCTCTTGTTTTGGTCGCCGATGCCTTACAACTTTCCCCGGGGTTTATCTCTGTGAAGTACTGTGCTGTGGGCATGGCTTGATGTGATGATTTTCTTCTCACGATGGTCTTCATAGCACCCTTGGTGAGGGAGCAATGCTGAGACTGCCTATTGGCATTAACTGATCAAGCCACTGCTGTTCCACATGACGTGTGATGCTGTTCTAAACATGTTACCCAGCCATTTAATGAAATAATTTGCTATTAGTTTTTACAATTGTACACAGTATGATGTAAAAAAACCTATGAGTATTTCTTTGAAACCGCAAATATAAATCATATACTTGGCTGCAGTTAGAATTATTAAACCATTAGTTGGCATCAATGTAATTCCAAGCAAAATGCAGCTATTGTTACTCGCTGGGTTGTGGTTAAATTAAGTATTCATGTGACGTGATTATATTACCTATGTTTTTGTATTTGTAACAGGCCATTGAGGGCACTTACATTGACAAAAAATGCCCCTTCACTGGCAACGTGTCCATCCGTGGCCGTATTCTTACAGGTGAGTCCTTAACTCTTTTTACATTTGTGCTGTGTGGTAATAAAAAGTGTTCCTGCACAAATTCCACATTACTGTGTAAAGCAGTCCAGTTTTCTATGAAGTTGACTTCCCCAAAGTGTCTGGTTCCCAAAACAAATCTGCTTGGGTTTGTTTCCATTTTGACCCTGAGCTGATAATTGTAATTGTCCATTACTACTTCAGGGTCTAGTCTTAGCATGAGGTGACTTCTACTGTTGCAGATTTTATTGGCATTTAAGCAAGTGTCGCAACGTGCATCATAAGATAATTTGATTATAACTTTTTACCCAGGAAGCGTCAAAGAATATTAAGACTTTCAGATGTGTCCTGCATTTTAATGTATGGCTAGTTGCTTTTTAAACCAGTTTTTTGCATGTTGGGGGAAAGTCAAATACTTGGAATGAAACATACGCAAACCAGGGGTTAATACTCGGAGGTCCACTCAGATGGGTTAACGAACCTACCTCTGATACCACCATCTTCTTGCCACCCAGCAGCCCAGTGTGTTTGGGAGTCTCACTTGATCCCAACAACCTTTGTCTTTAAAGCATGGTCTTATGTGATGGTATAAAATCTTGACACCTTGGGAAAGTGATGACAACAAAAATGTGTTTCTCCCATACGATGATCATTTATAAGGAATTGACCAAGCAACCTAATACTGAGCCCTCCAGGAAAAGTGTGCCTTATTCTGGAGTATTTTTTCAGTTGCAAAATGTTTTTGTTTTATAGCTATTCATACTCTTGTTACATGCTTGGGATTCGCACCAATAAAATAATCGCATGGCATCATTTTATCAGTGCATGATGCTTATTGAGGTATCCAATTATGTTAGTCCCGAGTAATTGTTTTATAATAAAAACTCGGCTCTGATGTGGCTTGGCATGATGAGTAATTCTCACGATGGTCTTCATAGCACCTTTGGTGAGGGAGCCTTGATGAGACTGCCTATTGGCATTTCCTGATCAGGTCACTTCAGATTGATGTTCTAATCATTGTACTCTCACTTGTGAAAGGTAACACTAGGCGGCAACCCAGTTCTATGAGTGGCAGGGAATTTTAATGTTGAGACTTGTGTCTTGCAGCAAGTAGGCTATGGGTTATATTCCCAACTTGGGTGCCTTTCTGTGTGGAGTTCTCTCCATAAGCTGTATGGGTTGTTTTCTGTATTCTCTGGTTTCCTGCATAAACTAAAAAACATACCATCTAACAAAAATACGAACAAATTATGCAATTAGGATTACACATAGTAACTTTGCCCTCTGCTGCAAAAACGTTGCAATCATGAGACGTGATAGTAATGAAATAACTGTAAAGCACTAAGCATGCCTGGCATGTTTCAACTATTGTGTGCCTCCCCCAGGCGTCGTCACCAAGATGAAGATGCAGCGCACGATTGTGATCCGTCGTGACTACCTTCATTACATCCGCAAGTACAACCGTTTTGAGAAGCGGCACAAGAACATGTCCGTCCACCTCTCGCCAGCGTTCAGGTTAGTCCTGGCATAGCCACTGGCAGCAGTGTAGAACATGCAGAGGACATTGATGACAATGTCTGGGAGCAAGGGCGACAGTTACAGCCCAAGTGCTGTGGCCTGCATATTTGCGTGGTGTGATGCCAAGTGAGAATTAAAGAGACATCTTTAACTTGAGTTTGAGTTCATACAGAAGTTGCTAGGAATTTCAAGCCAGGATAGTGTAAGCAATTTGGAGATTTGGAATAAAACGTGTCGGGAAACTATTTTATGTCGCATCAGGAATACGATATTTGGATTCCTAAAGTCATGTGTAGGATAGAAGAGAATGGTAGGGTTGCAAAGATGGGAATTAAAGACATCAATGGGAAGACCTGAAGCCAGATAGTTGTACGTTAAAACCTGATGGGATACAGACCTGGGAACGCTTTCATTTTTCAATAGTTACGGAATACATTTTCAATCCATCATGATGGTGTTGGGATTTAGAGTTAAAATCTTGGTCTGGGATTGCATGCCATTTTGTGAGTAGTCAGTCGTAGTTTACATATGGAAGGACTGAACCTGCCATCAGAACGTGTGGTCTATATCTCATGGCAGTCAAAAAAATGAGGATCGTGCCAATGCTGACCAGGTACAAATGTAGTTGGTAATTTTGGCATAGCAACCAAACACTGTTGAAAGATTTTGTCTTAGTCTCCATCAACATTTCCATTGTTATAAATAAATACATTACATTTGCACGTGCTAAAAGGTTGTTAGGGTTCAGAGTAATTTCCAAACAACATACATAGTGGTAGTACACTTTCTTTCTACATATTTTTCCACTCTTGTAATTTTTTTGAAATTGTGTCCCAAGAATGGATGGATACTTGTGTAAAACTTTTTTATGGTGCTTTGTTACTTCCAGAGTTGTTTATTTTAGTCCCGAGTCTTTGTTCAAAAAATAAAACATCAGTGCTGATGTGGCTTGACATGATGAGTAATTCTCACGATGGTCTTCATAGCACCTTTGGTGAGGGAGCTTTGATGAGGCTGCCAATTGGCATTTCCTGATCAGGCCACTTCAGATTGATATTGTAATTATATTTACTCTCTTGTTAAAGACAAACCCCCCCCCCCCAAGCCAGTCTATAATTGTGTGTTAATGCAATAGAAGTACTAGGTGAAACGTGTAGCGCTTATTCTAATTTGTGAACACTAATACAGCACTGATATAATCTGGTCCTAAAGTATGAGTATAAAGTCAGTTACCATTTACTGTTGAAATTGCAACGTGTTTTTAATTGTATTTATTTCGTAAATATCTTAAGGTATCATAATTGTTGGGTGTTTTTATACAGGGCGTTTCAAAAAGATGGACCCAATTTCAGAGATATAGCGACTTCAAATCGGGTCCATCTTTTTTAAATACCCTGTATTATATTCTTGTATTGTTATATTATGTTCAAAGCTGAGTTTGTATTTATAGTGGACAAACTAAATAATTGCACATTATAACTGCTTCGACGATACTATCATGATAATAAAGATTGTGCATATTAAAAGCCATAATTCCTATCATAAATCACAATACAATTTTTTAAATCTCAGATTATTTTTTGGAAGCAACACCCATTTTCTATACAAATTGAAAACAACGAATGCTGGCGGCCACTTCATAGCTGCTCAACGACATATCATTGTGTGCCACAGACGTGTATGCATGACCACAATTGGTATTTGTGAAGCATCTGAATACAACTTTACAAGAAAGGTGACAAACTTCACAGTGCTTTTAAGGAGGGTTGTGATCATGAAAAGCAATTTTTTTCAGGGTTTTTGAAATGGAGGTGGAGATGGTAAAGAAAAGTAGGAAAAATTAAGACCGCAGTACAATGCGTGCCTAATGACACTGGGATAAGGTTGGGGCATAAGTTACGTGTCCTCAATGACTCTTGATTCCATCTTTAACAGCACTTCACATGATTCCCACCCAGTAGGAGTGGTAAGCGAGCCAAGAGATTTTCTGATCACAAACCACAGCCTCCGTCCGAGTGATGACACGGGGCAATAATGTGCGTGCTTGCGTGCAAAGTGTTTCATTCCATAGAGGTGGCTCCCTGTGCAATTTCCTCGTCCCCCATCTTCCTCCGTAGGGATGTGCAAGTGGGCGACATCGTGACGGTGGGGGAGTGTCGGCCGCTCAGCAAGACCGTGCGTTTCAATGTACTCAAGGTCACCAAGGCTGCCAGCAACAAGAAGCAGTTCCAGAAGTTCTAAAGTACACATGTTTACCACCATTGTGCTCGATGGCATGTAGCCTAGATGGCATGCTTGTGGAGCTATCAATAAATACACAGACCAACGGTGCCGTGTGAGAGTCCTCTCTTTGTTGCTGCTCGAGTGCACGGTGCGTGCGATGAATGATGCTGTCGGGTTTTCATGTGGGCGCTGCGCTGTATTTGCTGCCTTTTAATATTTAAAGTCGACAGGTGCTCTGTAAATTGAAATTGACTTTCAAATTACGATGCACAGATTGCGTGAATGGCAATTCCTGGGCATTGTGGTTGGTTAATGGGGGTTTTATAAGCTGTTGATTGTGTTTGCGTGACAGACCATCAGGAATTGTGTTTTGGAAGTTAATTTAGCCATGAGTGCTTCCATGAAACTGAAAAAAGATTACCCGGTACATTGTAAATCGTTGGTAAATAATTTAAAACCTCCCTGGTCAAGTCTTTTTGGAGATTCTTGAGCAGTTTTAACTTAGGAGACTTGTCCTGGGAAGGAAATGGAATCCCATGGGGTAAAACCGTGCCATGCAGATAAAATTACAACCTGTGCTGTACTGCCTACTAAAAGATCGGCGTCTTGACACGATTCCATAAGTCTCAATTGAGTTACGGTTAATTGTTTTTAGACTTCGTTATGGACTACTGATTCAAAATTTTAAATTGATATTTGAACCTTGGCACCAAATGCTCAAATTGATACGTGTGAACGTTCCAACTGCACGGCACGTTCTATTGTGATTGGTAGGTGATGGCCATTGGGCACCGGCATCATTGCATTGCGTATATATTTGAACAGTTGTATTTTGAGTCATGATCGCTGCCGGATAAATCTCTCGAATCTCTGCTACAGTCTCAATCACCTTGGACCTGCACACAAGCTGATGTAATCATTGCATCGCCACGATCGACGACTTGGGACGCAGTCCCTCACTTCGTTGCCACTCGTTATTCTTGACCGTAGGCCAGTGTTCACTCATTTTCAGTGGGTGCCTCTTTCGCCGAGGGCCGCCACATTTCAAACCATTGGGTTTGACAGCATGATATGGGGTGTTTTCACGTTTGTGTATTGTTGGGGGCTGCGAGCCCTTACACTTCCATCGGCCATCCCTTCCTGCTGTGTCCTGCCTAAGCTTGATTACCTTGCTAAACAATCAATGGCGTCTTTAACCTGCGTATGTTATTTGATCCGTGTGTCCCTCGCTCTGTCTCAGTGTTATCTGAAACGTGTATCTTTCCATGCCTCTGCACACCAAGTTTTCAATTTGAACATTCTGAATCCAATCCATTTACAGTATTATGGGGCAATCCCCGTTTATTTTTCTTAATGTTATTGGTATGTTGACTTATACTGAAAAGTTTTATCTTAAAAAATTATCCCCCTCGTCTGCCTCTGGTCATTTTGATTGTGGTCTGCTTTAATACAATAGCTGCTGTGTTTGCCGATTGTCTCCACAACAGATATCTGCAATTGTTCAGTGGACTTGACCTTCGCTTGCTTATCCCGAGACCAAATTTGCCGGTCTCTACGATTAGGCTTTTCTACACGTGTGTGACATACCGATAGTTTTTCATCGTTTTTTGCGTGCGATTAGGAATCCGGCAAAAAAAACTAAAATTAACCCTCAGGCATGCGCCGCGATAGCCGGCTCATAATGAGACGGTAAATGTAATGAATGTGATGTAGCACCAAGCTGGAAAAGCAGATGTTGAACGCATTGCTGCATTAATTAGCAAGAATGCCGCTACAATCACTGAAGCTGCAGTGGTTTGCACAACTATTATGCTCCTGCTGGAGGTCTTTCCGCCCATCCATTCGCGCAAATGTGCGGCATTCAAATGTAAATTACGTAATTTCGCTTTCACGCTTCTCATTGTCTTTAAATATGCGGACGTAAAAGTGAGCCTGGAAGTTTTGAGAATGCTTCGTACGTAGACAAAATTCCCTCCACGCCGTGGAACAATTCCCTATAAATGGCCTGCCCAAGAGAGCCGACAGGTTGTGGACAATGCAATATTTGACTGCTGCCATAGTGCACTGGAATTATTGCATACATAGAGAGGGTGCATTTTCAATATTGGTCCCGGATCGTAGTATTGGAATTGAGGTGCATACATATTTCACTGGATACGCTTAGAACCACGTTGTACCACTGCATCCTTATGCCTCGCTTCAAACCACTAATGGTCTCCACAGCTGTGCAGGCGTGCGAGTAATCGATTTACTTGCCAACAAACTGATATCCTGAGCTTTGTGCCAAGTATAAAACCAGGCTCGCATAAACGAGAACCTAATTTAATCTCAATACCTACAACATTCGGTGTGGATGCCCCAAAGCGAAAAAATGTTGAGCCTCCAATGCCACCAAACCACCTTGAGTTACACCTACAAAGGAACTGGCGATTGCACTATGCACCCCCACCCGCCCCAGGCTGTTGTATTTAGGTTATCCCGTGGAAAAAAAGCCGTTGACAGAGAATGTATGCTTCATTGATGGAATTGAGTAAGGATCATTTCGCACCTCCGATTAGCACGATTGGCTTCGTACGGTGCAAAAGTTCAACATTTCGCGCACCTCCGATTAGCACGGTTGGCTACGTACGGTGCGAAAGAAGTTCAACATCGACTGGTTCATTGACTGGTGACTGAATTTACAGCCTATACTGTATGCGTGTGTAGTAGGGGGGGGGGGGTGGGGGGCGTGACCGCCTTTCAGGGGGTGGATGGGGGCGCAGGCTATGGCATGCGTGGATACCGTGCAGAAGTACTTTCACATGTGCACCGGTGGAGCGTCGGCCTCGTGTTGCGGTGATACAAAAAAAAAACCGCACGAATGCGATTAAAGAAATTATGTGCACCCCATTGATTAGATGTGTGGGACGTGTGATCTTAATTGTGGCCTTCGGAAGTTTAGAGTTAGGGGGATAAGGACCAGCGGTCTTGGTTGTGGGAGGGCACAATCCCAAAAAGGTTGAGAATCTCTGGGTATTGTACATTTATATAGATATATTTTCTACTATCCGTTATTGTTAGAAATCACGAGAAAAACTTTACGTTTTTGTAAACACATTTGGGATGTAGTCTTGCAATGAAATCATTTGATTACACTTCGTCAGTCCACTCCTGGATGAAGGCTGCCCTACGCCGTGATGATCACGGGGGGTGGGGGGTGGCTGTGACTACTTCGTAATGGTCATTGTGTGAAGGTGACAGGTTGGGGACTGGTTCAGACATCAAGATTTGAACTGAGGGCAATTGGTCTTGTATGCACTGCACCTCCGATTAGCACGGTTGACTACGTACGGTGAAAAAAGTTCAACGTACACTGCGCTATTGCCCCCCCCCCCCTATTATGGTAAGCGGTAGTGTTGTTTGGAATGAGGTCTGGCATTTTTCCCCCCACGTGCTGGAAGCTTCTTCATGAAGTGTTCAGGAATTAATCGGTGCTCGGAAGTAAGACCCACCACGTGGAGGATCTCAACTGCATCCAGTTCCTGAAGAAGCTCGCAAGCAAGGTGGGGCGAAGCGTCGCGGACATCATGCCGAATAAACGCGCGGTACAACCCGCAAACACATCGGAGGTTTGAAACGGCACTTTCGGTGAAAGCCCACGCAGCGATGACGCATCGTAACCCGAGCACGCTACGACGGTTCGTTGACTGCTTGTGGCATTAGTGTTTAGCAATCTTTAGATTTCGACAAAAAAAGAGTCAAAACTACCTAGTTTTAAAACATAGGGCCAGAGGATATTTTTCACCTCGTACAACAAAACATAAATCAAAAAGCCAGTGTGA